CTCTCTCTCTCTCTTCCACGCTGTCTCGTTCGGTATCTTTTTCTCCAATTAGCTGTCACTCTCCCTTTAAAATAACGGCCGACTGATGATCCCGACAACCGAAATCCCGACAACAAAATTCCTACAGGCAAAATCTCCCCATCGAAAATGCCGACCGACGAGAATCCCGACAACAAAAATGTCGACAAGAAAAATCCCGACAGGCCAAAACGTTGACAAACAACGATCCGTGCGTCCATATGCTTGACGCCAACTTGAATGTTAGCTCCTTTAAAAAACAGGATTTTGCATGTCGGGATTTTGGCCTCGCCCGATTCTGGCCGTTTGGGTTTTGTTTGTCGAGATTTGGGATTGCGGGATTTTGGCTCGCGCGGCTATCGCTGTTGCGATTTTGACGTTTTCCCATAACGAACAACTCCGAAAATCCCCCTCTTCCCCACCCAACCCCCTGCCATAATTAGCCTCCCGGCCATTCCGCTCTGCTGCTATTTACGGGTTGTTGGTTGGGATGGTGGGGCGAACTGCTCGATCGGGCTAGTGAACCCCCACGATCCACCCCCCTCGGAATTGTTCTGTTTATTTAGAGCAACGACCCGGGGCCCGGTCTCGCCTTCCTCCCAAACCAACCCTGGAGGGCGGGGGTAGAGGATCATTTTCCTGGGATTCCCCCCTCGGCGGGGCTCAATTTTTTGCGTTGGAATTTGCGGGTGGTGGTTCCGGAAGCGTTCCAAATATGTTTTGCTGCAAACAGAAATTTGTTTTTGAAGGATTTGAAAATTCTGAGATTGGCCGGATTCGAATTAGGTATCGACCGAGGTATCGAAGTTGTCCTTTATTTTTCCCTTTCTTTGGATCTCGCTCTGTCTCACTGTCTCTCGCTCTCTCTCTCGCTCTTTCTCTCTCGCTCTCTGGCTTACTGACGCTCATTCTTTTGGTCTAGGATACTCGGACTAGATTAACATTTACCAAGCTTTACGAGATTTTTAGCCTGCCTCCTCTCTCCTCTCCTCTCTCTCTCTCTCTTCTTCTTTCTCCGTCCCTTCTCTGCTTGCTGAGGCTCATTCTGTTGGCCTAACGATGCTCGGAATAGGTTCAGAGCTATCATTCTTTACTGGATTGTATTTTATGCGCAAATTCTCTCCCTCATTCTCTCTCTCTCTCCCGCTCTTTCTCTCTCTCTGCCTCGTGTTCTCTCGCGTTCTATCGCTCTTGCTCTTTATCGTCCGCCACCTAAAAGGGTTGCGACATTCTACAAATCCTACCCCCTCTTAGATCATCGAATTGTTCCTTTTTAAATTACGATCAGGCAAAAAAAAAAACAAGAATGGCAAAGATCACGTTAACCCGCAAACACTTACCCTTATGGAGTTCGGACTCTGGTGCTCAACAAGCCAGAGCTTCTGGTGGTGACCTGGTGGTAGGTTTGGGCCTGGTGGGTCTGGTGCCCCCCAGGGGACATTTACAATTTTACGAGCACCCATGGCGTATGCTTCTTCTTGTGCCCCCTTCCGCTTTTCTGGCCTCCCCCCACCCCTTGCGAACCTTGAGTTATGGCTTTGTACACTTGCGCTGGAAAGCTGGGAATATCGAAATTAGCGGGTTAGGGGTTCGAGTAGTAGACCACAAACTACAGTAATTCAGACTTTATTCGTCTGTTTTTTTTGCGTCGTGAAAATCTTGAACCTTGGTTCTTTCATTGAATTTTGCAGTGCTGGGTCCTTTTGGGGCCCCGCCCGTCGCTCTGTTATGCTAATTTTTGAAGGAGAAGGGAAAAGAGCGAGAGAGAGAGAGAGAGAGAGAGAGAAGAGAGAGAAAGAGAGAGAGAGCCCCCTGGGACCCGTCTGGCAAGCTTGGATCGAACGTTTTTCGCGACAAATTCTCCAAAAAAGAATTTTTTTGCATTTCTATATGTGATTTTTTCGATTTTTACTCTATTTTTATCGTATAAAGGCAGTCGAATTTTTCTAGTGGCCTTACAAGCGACGCGGCTCTCGATGCGGGCCCCGTTGGCTGACGCCGAGGCTGGCGAAGGCCCCTCCAAGCAGGTAGGGGAAAATCAGCCCAAAAAAATGAAAATATGGCGACAAAACTTACTTATTACATTATTGCTTATTACACAAATATCTAAAAAAGCGATTTTTTGAATACCCAAAATATATGTGAGAATCCCATCTAAAATTGATTTTTTTGTAGAATCGGCCTGTCACACTCCCTTTAAAGCCCCTCCATTTCCAGAATGCCACCACCATCGACCTGGCCCGAGATCTGGAAGAGTTGAACCGGCTGCAGGCAAGTGGATTCCGGGGGGAAAATCTGGGTCCCTGGGCCCTTTGGGCCTCCCAGAGGGCCCAAATTGAGACTCTCCCGTGCCCTGCCCCTCGCTCAGCCAACCCTCGCTCCACCTAATTTCGAGCTTCCTATTGAGGGGAGCAGATACTTGGTTGGCTCTCTCTCCCTTTTGCTCGCTCTCTTTTTCTCTCGCTCTCTCTCTCTCTTTTTTTCTCCGGCTTTCTGATGCTCATTCTGTTGCTCTAGGGATGCTCGGAATATGTTCCAGCTCACCATTTTTACCGGAATTTTTTAATGCTTGAATCTTGGCCATCTCTTCGTTGTTTTGCTCGCTCTCTCTCTCTCATCCTCACTCTCTCTCTCTCTCGCTTTCTCATCTCTCTCCCTCTCGTTTTTGACCGAGCACCAGCTTTTCTGTGGCCTTTTTTGCGACCAGGCCCGGCCAGCTGGCCTGCGCGCCGCGAAAACTTTTTGCCGCCGCCGGTCGATTCAGAATGCTATCGGCCGGGTGCGTGGGAACCTCTGCTCCAAAAACCTTTATCCCGACCCCTCCATATTACGATACGCAATCCCGCTAAAAACTCTTGCTCTGAAGGGCCGGGTGGCACGGAACGCCGCGTAGTTCAAGAGGTTCGAGAGAAATGTTTCTCTCTCTCTCTCTCTCTCTCTCTCTCTCTCCCTCTACTCTTCTCGCCTCCGCCTCCAAACATCTATTTTTGTGAAATTGTAAAAGTGTCTGGAGCTTGTCCCAGTTTTTTAGCCCTAAAAATCGTCGGAAGCCCAATCGACCTTTGCCCGGGTCATAAAATGGCAAGTAGCCCGATTCCCAGAGAAATCGGCGCGCCATACCCTTTTCCTCCAACACCGTTTCCGGTCCATTAATTTTTGCGTGTATCGGTTTTTGGAGACATTTTTTCTTAACTATGCTGTTTTTTTGCGTTAGCATACGTTTTTGGAATGCCGACACTTAAAATCCCGGTAGCCAAAATGCCGACAGGCCAAAATCTCGACGCCCCAAATTCCACCGTAAAAATCTCGAGAGCTATAATCCCGACACCCCGAATTTCGATAGTCGAGAATCTCGACACACAAAATCCCGACAGCCATAATGCCGACAGCCAGACGGACTAGCAACATTGTTGTTAAAAAACGGACTGTTTTGAAGCGGAAGTGGAATTTAAAGTAGCTTCGAGAAATTTGGTCGGGATTCTGGGATAAAATTCTGGTGTCGGTATTTTGGGCTATCAAGGTCGTCGGGATTTTGGCTGAATTCTTAATTAAACTTTCGTATTTTAAAAACTTTTTCCAAAGCTCTGCCTTTTCCTTTTGCGAATTCCGGAAGCTCTCCCAGCTCTATGACTACGTTCCCCACCTCCAAACACCGCACGAAATCTGAAATTCAATTCACGAGGCGACTTATGAATTTCGTAGAGTGTTGTCGGGCGGCGGCCGAGTGGTGGAAAAAGACATTTTGATTCACCGCCCCAATCCAGATGACTCATGGCTGCCCTTGGCGATGTTGGGGGGCTGGGAAAGTGCTGTCATCCCACAAGCACCACTCTCGTCTCGTCCATTAATGCCTGTTTTTAGGGTGTTTTCATGGGCTTGGCGCGTTGTTATAAGATTCGAATACTAGCATTAGCTAGGATTGCCTAAAAAAATTGATAATCGGAAACTTTCGCTTTCCTGTTCCCATTTCCATGCTAGCAGCTTCCGGGTTAGACCTAACGCCGCACTACGCATGGCCCTGCGCCGATATGGTACGTTTTTATTGGACGTTTTGATGGATCATTATTTCGATTTCAATTAAATTTCTAAGAAATCGTTACCATAGAATTAAAACGTTGTAAAATTCGAGTTTTTAAATTGTCAATATTCTTGAAATTTCAAGGAAAGGCACGATTTTTTTGGGTTTTTCGACCTTCGACCAGCGATAGCTTTTTCAACCCGTCACGAATTTAAGGATATCTCCCTATTAAATTCTATTTTTAAGAGCTTTTCAACAATAAACATGAAGATTTACGAAAATTTATGTTGACAAAGATATATCGGTACGAGACTGTTAGCGGGGGGGTAGCAGAGTGGAATTGCTTTATTGTTTCTCCCCCTATGCAAACTTGTTGATGTTTTTTTATATTTTTTATAGTGTTTTTGGTAGTTTATTTTAAAATGCAATAATTTGGAGTTTTTTTCGTTTTTGATGAATTTTTTACCAAAAATTCAAAATTTTCCGATACTGTAAAAAGTGTACAAACTTCATAAAGCCAAGGTTTTGTGAAAAACGCAATAAAACTGGTCTATATTTTTTTATTGGGAACTTCGAAATTACTGCACGAATTTCGCATACTATTGCCTCATTTTTAAAGGGCCATTGAAGCCGCGGGCTGCCAAAAACAGGAAATGCCGGGGGTTCGGGTGAAAAAGCGGACAAAATGGATTGTTTATTGCGTGGGAGTCATTTTCCTTCACTCGGCTCCTCGTACGACGAAGGGGCCGGAGCATAAACAATGTTTTCTACCTGCCTCCTCCTCCTCCTCCTCTGCCTTGCCTCCCATCTCCTTCTCGCATAAACCACGTTTTGTTGAGCCAAATTTGAATCTTTTAACTTTACCTTGGCTGAAAATTTAGACAATAAAATTCTTATTATAGGTTTTTGATCAGAATTTTTTGAGCATCTGTTTTAAACATATTTACAGCGAATCCTGGAGCAAATGGGCACCGAGTGCGAGCCGAGTCCGTCGACCAGCTTGGACCGGACGTCGTCAATTAATGAGAAGGAGAACGACGTCTCCAAGGCTGATTCTGTCGATAGCAAATCGTCAAAGGGTCGTGGTAGGTACTTTTCAATTTGCTGCCAAAAACCAACCTCGACTGCCATAAATCGGTAGCGAAAATACCGACAGCCATAATTTTGGCTGTCGGTATTTTCCCCGTCGGGATTATGGCTGTCGGGTTTACGATCTGATTGAGCTTGTCGGTATTTTGGCTCGTTCGGGGGGTTTGACGATGCGCTTCTGGCTGTTGAGATTTTGGCTGCAGGGATTTTAGTTTTCGGGATTTCGGCCTTTCCGGATTTGAGCCGTCGGGATTTCGGCATTTTCCGGTTGGTGGATCTGCGCGAACCCTCACTGTTCCTTCCCTCTAATCCCTTTAATCGTCATGCTTTTCCGCTAAAGCGAAGGTGTCTGGGGAACGACGTGAAGGTGCGAACCCCACGGGTCGGCCGACAGCTGGTCCACCCATGCCCCCCTTTCTAACCCTCGACATTGGGCGCTAATTCCATTTCTCTGGGCCCTCTTTTCAAATGTGTGCCCCCTGGCGCCTAGCTTCAGCTTGACAAATCGCCATCGTCCACCAGCTCGGGGGGAAGGTTCGGCTAAATGATAGACATCGGATGGAGAGGGGGGGACCAATACCGGCTGACTGGAATTGACATGGCAATTAGGGGGTTAGGGATGGGGAAATTCGTAGATCTGGACTTTTAAAGAACTGTGAAGCGAGAGAGTGAGAGAGCAAGGGATAAAGACAGGGAGAGAGATGCAGAAAGATAGACTAACAAGCGAGAGAAAGCGAGAGATAGAGAGATCAGGCGAGTGAAAAAAAATAGCCAGAGAGAGAGTCAGAGAGACAGCGAGAGAGCGAGAGAAAGGTAGAGAAATAGAGAGCGAGAGAGAGAGAGGGAGAGGGAGGGAAAGAGAGAGAGAGAGATAGAGAGAGAGCTAGAGAAAAATCTAACTTTGTTTTCAGTTTCTGCAACAAGCACGCGACGCCTCATCCGAGTACCGTGCGTCCCGAATGCCGAGACCTCGTTTACGATCCAGGGCGGAGCCGCGCTAGCCAGGTTTGTTGAACCTTAGATGGCACTCTCCCTTTAAAGACACGCTCTAGGCAAAGGAATGAATTTTTGGCAAAATATCTACCCGTGCCTAAAATCTTTGATCTAAAAGCCCTAAATCCAGGCTAATCACGGTGGACATGGTGCGGCAAAGCGACCTTGTCGGGCTGCTGAATCCTGGCGACGTCATATTAACGATTGACGAGATGTAAGTTGACGCGAATTTTCGATTTTTGGCCACTTCCCTGCACCCCGCCACCCAACATCTGGTCCCAATTAGCGTGCCCTATGTCTCACGAAAGTCGTGGGCCCTGAAACACCTTAAAACCGGGGTGGAAGCTCAGGTGAATTAGAGACTAACACGTTTAAACGAACAAAGAACAAACTAAGAAATTCAGACCGGTTTCCGGGATGCTGCGATCGACAGCGCAGGCCCTCCTCGAAGCGCAATCCGTCCAAAAGGATCAGTTGGCCATTGAAGTGCTTCCAAAAGGTATGGAAATTTCGGGGGAATTAAAGGCACCGGAAAGGCACAGCTATGGATTTTTGACGGGGAACTAATTAATTAGCCGCGCCGCATCACGCAACGCATGCGTTCGCCGGTCCACTGTTTTACTTTTTACTTTCGTTTCAGGGGGTTTAGCGCCTCACGCGTCGCATGTCGCACTTGCGGCCATAGCGATAGACATACTGCTGTCGAAAAATATATAGGCGCTTTGCCAATCCCTTTAAAACAGCCGGGAAATGACGTGATTGACCCCTACTTTCGGCTAGGTCTCGACAGCGTTTCTTAAAAACGTATCTGTCGAGACCCGGTCGACGTAACCAATCGATAATGCCATTTTTAGATGCAATCCCGGATGATTTGTGCTTGATTCTGTCAGAGAAGGAATACCCCGAGCTTCAGACGGTGATACGAGACAATGTCTACGCACGCACTGTTCCATGTGGGTTTTTTGGAGCCATGCGCAGCGGCGGCGTAGCGTCTTATCGGTCCAGATCCAGTCGATAGGAAGCCTCTATTTGGGCTCTTGTTAGTCCCTTTAAGGTCAAATCCAACCTGATTCCAGTCACGACCCGTGATGCGCGGGATGGTGAGATCGACGGTGAGCACTATCGCTTCGTCACGGTCGAACATTTCAACGAGCTGAAGGACGGGGGTCACTTGCTGGAGCACGGCACCTATCAGGGTTAGTTTTGCGCATAAAAAAACCTTAGAAACTGATCACTTTGTTTTGATGCAATCTCTATTTACTCCTGGCGTATTTACCCTCTTTTTTCTGCTTGATCGAAAGTCTATTGATACTCCCCCGGGGTGGTTGAAGCTGAAAAGGAAAAGCCTTCCGGCACGCGGTCGATCGGACCCTATTTTCGCTATAATTTTTGTGTTTTAACAGATCTGCTGATGAAAACTAGCGAGCCTATTTTCATGAGAAGGGGAATTTTTCAAAAAAGCCCGATCTCGATGTGCAAATTTTTTAATTTATCCAGCCTTCCGTGCTTCTTTAAACCGCGCTTCGTGCCGAAACTAGACCCCCGGCTTGAACAGCCAGCCCCCGATTCGCGCGGCCAATTTGCCATCAAGCCCAGCGCGCTAGCACGCGCGCGTTTGCCCCTTTCCCCCCGTCATCAGCCCCTCTCTTTCGCGCCTGAAAAAGAATAGGACCCGGTTTTGCACGGGCGCTGATCGGGCCAATGATCCGGGGGGATTCGTGGCGGGACCCCCGGCCACTTTCCACGTCTTCAAGGGCCCCCCCATGCAGCTTCTTCTGCTTTTTTTGATTCTCACGTGGGCACGTTCGCGTCGATCCCGGTCAGTTAAAAACCATTCGAGGCGAAACAATCGGATTTTTTCATTTTCAAATTTTTTGGTGTTCTACCGTAACCTCACCTAAGAATTTTTCGGGTAGACGCGAATTTTTTGAGCTTCCCAAGGATTTGCCTTAATGCGATTATTTTTTTGGTGCTTTGGCATTATCGGGGGTGTGAGCCAGGGGCAAAATCCCTAGTGACACAATAATAAATATTTTAATAGCAATATATTTAATTTAATATATTTTAATATGCTATTTATTATTATTAATATTTTAATATGCTATTTTAATATTTTAATAATCTAGTTTATTTCAATTATCTGTATTTAGGAGGTTTTTGAACCAGGCAAACGTGAAAAACATGCGGAAACGCTTACGCTGTGTATATTGTAAAAATGTTATACAAAACGAAAAATATTCGTTTTTCCCTGATCCCCCCCCCCCGTAAATGCAAAAGTACATATTTTGGCACGAAATTGAGAATGCTATGGGTCTATGGATTCTTGCGTTACCAACCCCTTTAAACCCGAAAACCAACAATTTAGCCGCGGATCCCCCCGGGGCAATTGGGGCCCGTCAAAGACGCGCACGTTGTGTTGACCTGGGGGCACACAGACACGCAATTACCTGTACGCTCACCCCCGGTCATATAACCCCCCCTGTCACTGTCTGCCTGTATCTCTCTCCCTCTATCTCTCTCTCTCTCTCTCACCTGGGATCGACCCCTGCGCGATGCCCCTTCCAAAGATGGCCATCTTGTCCTGTCCTCCCCCTCTAGCCCTCACCCATACATCCACGCGCCCCCAAGCACACGCCATTGATTTCGCCAGGTCTCAACCACCTGGAATCGGCCACTTGGCGTGATTTCAAGTTCGAATATGCTAATTCCATTGAATCCAGTTGTTTCCGCTGGTTTTCATAGCTTTTTTTGAACCATTCTCGACACTTCAAATTCGTCTGCATTAGCTCGGAGAGTTCGTAAACTCATTTTTCCAGTTTTATCGCTGATTTTCTAGCAATGTCAGCATTCATATTTTGTGCCTTTTTTTCCGCGTCTGCGTTGTCCGATGAACTATTTACCTCACCGCATTTTTAAGAAAAAAAATAGCCAAGAGATTTTTTAGAAAAATGAGCTGAATTTCCGTAAAACCGCGCGTTTTATCAATTTTCAATTTTTCTCGATTTATTTTTTTTTCATTTTCGCGCCATTTCGATCCCAATCGATTTTTGTGAATTTTTGCATAGCGTCAGTTTCCCTAGCCGGTTTTGCTATTAGTTTCTTTCATCTTCAGCTCCTAGCTCCTTGCTCTCTATCTCCCGGCTCCGAGCTCTTAGGAAGTTTTTCATATATTTTCTAAATATATCTTAACGTCATTTCCGTTTTTCGACCGTTATCGAGCTTTTTTCTGATTTCCCAGGCCGTGCTTACCAGCTTTCAAATCGAAGAAACTTTTATTTTCCATTTCTGAGACCCTTCAACATTCTCAGAGGGAAAGGTGTGACGGAAGCGCGAGGCTTTCCCGGCCTCTTATTTATAAGCCTGTATCCATTCTTTTGAATAGCAAGGAGAAGGAGGGGGACAAGCATTAGCCCTTCAGACGTTCCCCCAAAAAGGCCAGGAGAAGGCGGCTTTCAATGGGACAGGTGGTAGCCGTTGGCAAGCCGGTTGTCGCAAAGGATTCACGGATTTAGAGCCTTATTTTCACGATAAGTCGGAAGTATCTCTCTATCTCTCTCATCTCTCTCTCTCTCTCTCTCTCGAATAATTTACCTCTCTTCCTAGCGGCAATTATTTAACGATCGTGTTGTTTTATCACTCGACTCGCTCTCTATCTCTAGTGCTCTCTTCTCTCTCTCTCTCTCTTGCTCCCCTCTCTCTCCAGTTCTCTCTCTTACGAATATTTATTTGCCGAGCTAGCAAAGATTATTTAATATTTAAGCATCACCTTGTTCAATCCTTTGGTTCTCTCTGTCCCGTTCTCCCTCATTCACTCGTTCTCTCTCGCTCTGCCTCACTCTCTCATGCTCTCCCTCATTCGCTCGTGCTCTCCCTCTATGTCGCTCTCTCTCGCTCTCTCTCATTCTGTCACCAGCCGGACTCCAAAAGCCTCCAAATTCAAATGCCTCGTCTCTGCTTGAACGCCTGCATTCTAGTGACGCTTATTTATTTTCGGCTTGGCTGCAATGACCCGGGGTCTCTCTTTCTTTGCCCCGTCCATGACACATTTGATAAGCCGTTCAGTTGGGTGGCGGGGCCAAGCCGCTGACTAGTTTCCGCCTTTCACGCCTTGCATTCATTTCGGAATGAATTCTCAGAAACTCTCACCTAGCGCCTAGTTTTTTTTGAGTTTTTGCGTTTTTTCCAGGCTTTATCGCTTGTCGGCTTTATTTTAGTTGTCGGTATTTTTTTTGGAGCGTACCGGCGGAATGTGTGAATCATTTTCCAAATCGCCCCTTGTAATATCTACGCGCTTTGCTGCCTAATTTGCATAAATAAGGTCAACGACGCGGAGCAACTCCTAAAGCCCCTCTGATCCCCAAGCCGCCACGATCCGAGCCATCGTGAAGGCATAAGCGCCGGTACACACAGTTCCAGCCTTGGCCGTATCTCTCTTTCTCTCTCTCTCTCTCTCTCTCTCTCGCCCATATGCAAATCTTGCCCCTTCACCTTTTCGGCCCCTCTCGGTACCCCCCTAATCCCAAGGTCAGGCCGTCAGGCCGACCCGGAAAAAAGGTGCTGGACGTCTGACTTTCCGGCTCGACTGCGCCTTATTATTGATTGGATTTGAATTTAGTTAGGAAGCTTAAATTATAAATTATTTTGTATTTGATAAAGATCACATAACTGTCAAAAAATGCGCGTAATATTGGCCTAATTCCTGATGCAAATTCCACTACATTCCACTGCACAAAGTGGAGATCCCATACATTGGACATCTGCGTATTTTTTCGGTCCCTTTCTCTCTCTGTTTCTCTCTTTCTCTATCTCTCTCTTTCTCTCCCTCTCTCTCTCTCTCTCTATCTCTCTCGCTCTCTCTTTCTCTATCTGTCTCTCTCGCCTGGTTCTTTCCCTTACCCCGATGTAGGTTTTTTCAATACCGCGCGCCCTGGGCATCTTTCTCGTTCTCTCTCTCTCTTTCTCTCCAGCTCTTCTCTCTCCACGCCTGCACCTGACAGCGCTCAGGGCGGGGTGAAAATTTTTTGGGCCTTCATAAAGACCCCATACGCAGCTGGATTCATTTTTCCATCTTTACTTAGGCCGATTGCGGCCAGTTTCAGGTCAACACCAAATCCTAAAACTCTGCCGATCAGATATCCACCCGCTTTCCCCTTCCTTCCGCCGTTCCAGGCGCTGCTTCACTTTCCGCGCGTCGGCCCGGAGATCGTGCGGCTGATTTTGGGGCTGGCCTCGTAGCGGCCTACGCCTAGCTAGCAGCACTTCTCATTCGATTTCTCCCCTAAATTTATTGAGCAGTGTTCGTCTTTGGAGTGATTTTTGAACCAATTACGCCATGAAAATCGGCTATTCTGGGCTTTCCAGGTACCTTCAGGTAATCAAAAACTCGTAAGCTTTGTTCCTAAACTTGTTTTTCACTATTTCCAGCCATTTCGAACCGATTACGCAATGAAAATGTGGTCTTCGTGGCAATCCAGGTGGCTTTAGGCAAGCTAAAACTCGTAATGCGTCTCTCCAAACCTGTCTTTTCGTTTTCAAGCCATTTTTGGAACGATTACGCCGTGAAAATCTGGCATTATTTGCATGCCAGGTGTCGTTAGGCATGCTAAAACTCGTAATGCCCATTTTTCCCACGCTGACCACAGCAGAAAACGGCCCTCCCCCTTCCCATCCACCACCCGAAATATGATCCCATATTTACGGGGCTTTCCCATGGACGTTTCGCCCCTCTTCGCCCACCCGACTTGACGCCACCCACAACGGATTCCAGGCCATCCGTCGTGTCTCGCTCGGGTCGCCTTCACCACTTTTATGACTTTTCCCCCGGGCCGATCACCACCCACCCTGCGGCAATTAGAATTCGCCAGCAGCACGGCTTTCTCTGTCCACCCGAAAATTGTCATTATTATCATCAGCGTGGGTGGCGGATTACAAGATATCCTAAGGAAATTTGTCAACTTACCCGGATTTTTCGAGCTGGTTTTGTGAATCTCTCGCTCGTCTCTCTCTTTCTCTCCCTCTCTCTCGTTCTCTCTCTCGCTCTCTCTCTCTCTCTCTCTCTCGCTTTCTATAGCTTTCTTCCCTTTCTTTCACACCCTCTGTTGCTACCTCGCTTTCACCCTCACTAGCTCTCTCACGCTTTAGCGCGTTCTCTAGGTTTCTCTCTGTCTCTCTCTGTCTCTCTCTCTCTCTCGCTTTCTTTCGCTTTATCTCTCTACAGCTGTCGCTCACTCGGTCTCGTATTCACTAGATTGCTCTCTACACTCTCGCTCACTCACTCACTCTCTCTCTCTCTCTCTCTCTCTCTCCCTCTCTTGCTCTATCTCTCTCTTCTTCTACCCAATGATTTAAAATTTTTTTCAGCATTCCAATAATACTATTTCCCATTCCAGGCCATCTGTACGGGACCCCGCGACCGACGGAGATGGTATCGGGCCCATCCAAGGGCCCTCTGCCCCCAAATTGGGAGATCGCCTACGATGATCAAGGGGAAAAGTACTTTATCGAGTGAGTTTTTTATTAAATTAGGGAGAGAGAGAATGAGTTAAAACTACATCATTCCTCCAAATAATCACGGCTATCTCTTGAATCGGACCGAGCTACAGTACCCCTCCTTTTTGGGCCGTTTCCCATTCACAAGCGCGTTTTAGCCTTGAACAGCATGGCTTTTGAATTCGAATCAGCATCCAGCAACATGGCGTCGGCGGGGATGGGAAAATGTTTCGGGGGCCCCTTTGTTTGTCATCCACATTCACACGGCGATGGCCCGGGAAGACATGCAAAAACGGAGGTCTAGGGCACAAAGGAATGCTTTTAAAGGCTCAGGAACGCGTTTCGCGTGCGTCGCGTGAGGAGAACAAAAACGTGAAGGAGCGAGAGAAGCAGAGATAGAGAGAGTAGTGGCGAGGGAGGGAGAGAGGGAGATATCGCCGGATCCAGAGCTAGCGTGACAGGGCGATAGAGAGCGAGAAAGACAGAGCTAGCGAGAGAGTCTGAGAGAGAGCGGTAGAAAAAATGAGAGCTGTAGAGAGCAGTAGAGAGTGGCGGAGCGACCGCGCGAAAGGCGTAAAGCGAAAGCTAATGAACGCGACACGCACCGCAGCCGCGACGCCCCGACTCGCCTTTTGGACCCGATTACGACAGGAAAATCAACCCCCAAATTCTGGGAATCATATTTATTCATTACCAATCGATCCCTCTCTGCTCTCTCTCATGTGGTGTAGTAGCGCTGCTCCCAGTGCGAGCGGTTGGCGCGCCGTTTGGCGAGCAGGTAGAAGGACATGGAGACGAGCAGCGTCAGGATCAGGCTCAGCCCTAAATACTTTTAGTGTGTGAGGCGTAAAAAATGGAGCGCTTAGAAAAAATGGAGCCTATGAATTACGCTACAAAACAACAACGCTTGAAAAACGAACCCATCTGAAAGAGCATGACGAGATAGATGGTGGCCTGGGTGTCATGCGTCAGCGAGATGGTCGGCACGGAAGAGTAGTCCTGCGGGTTTGGGATATTTTTTTTTTTTTTGGTTTTTTTCTTTTTTTGTTACCCTTTTTTTTTTTTACTTGTATTTTGGGGGGGTGTTGGTTTTTTTTTTTTTTTTTAAGGGTAATGATGCTTAATATTAATTTTAAATTTTAATTTTTTTTTTTATTAAAAATTTTATTTTTTTTTTTATATTTTTTTTTTATTTTTTGGTTTTTTTTTAACGGGGGGGGGAATTTTTGGGTAGGGGTTTTTTTTTTTTTTTTTTTTAAAAAAAAAAAAAAAAATATTTTTTAAAGGGTTAAAATAAATTTTAACCTTGGTAAATTAACTTTCGAAAGTGACCCACCATTTTCGAGGGAACCAGGATTTACTTTGGTCTTTAGAATCTTGGCGTAACCCAAAGGTTTATGCAAATTTGCTAAAAAATTCAAAAGATGTGGGGTTTGGCAACCTCGATTTCATCCGAATTTCCAAAATTAAATTTGTCTTTTCCAGCCACAATACTGGGACCACGCACTGGGAGGATCCGCGGGATTTGCCCGTCGGCTGGGAGCAGGTCGACGATCCTGTTTATGGAACGTTTTACGTCGAGTACGTTAATTTTTATCTAGATTCATATCTATTTTAAAATTCGTTTTTTGTTAGTGAAAAATTCTAAAATTCAAATTTATTCGTTTATTTTGGGCGGTTTGAGCAGATCGTGTGGAAAGTTCGATTTCTCCGTTTCTGGCCGTTTTCCGGAATTTTTTCCGAATCAACTAACTTTTTGGGTCCCAATTTGTAAAATATAAAAATCGTCGTGTTCCTAAATGGTTTTCATAACAAGGATAAGAAAAAAGACATTAACACAACGATAAGAAAATCGATGTTTCGGGCTAAAATAACCGTTCGGCCAAAATTTTATCCTGCAAATTTGTTTAATTTTTTTAAAATAAAACAATACTACTATTTTAATAATACTATCAATACTATTTTTACTTTTTTACGAGAGGTCCGATTTTTTCGAGTAATTCGAACTTACCAGATTCGAAAAACTAAAAAAATCTATTTCCCTATTTACGCTTCCTGTGCGTTTCCTTTAAAAAAGCGTGCATCGTCTTTACACAAATTTTTGGCATGCCTAACCCAAAAATTCCGAAAATCCCACCATTTTGGCACCCTTCCAACCCCAGAAGGCATCCCAGTAGATGCCGTGAAGGCCGAAGAGTCGATGCATGTTTGCCCAAGGCTTATCAGTCCATGTTTCGGGTCATATTCCCTGTATTCTTCACGACTCTCTCTCTCTTTCTCTCTCTCTCTCTCTCTCTCTCTCTGTCTCGCTCACTGTCCCCCCCCCACCCAGCTTCATGCTTCTCACAAGTCGATAAGCCCGTAGCAGCCAGCTCATTCCTTGTGTCCCGCCGGTCCTGTATATTCCGAGCCGCTCCGAGATGTACGCCCAGAATCGCTCGATGTCCCAGCCACATCTTATGGATCGGCAGCGGAGTGGGCGATATAGTAAACGAGGGGCCAAGCAGTTGGCCAATAGGTATGGCAGCGGAGTTAAAGAGTATTTTAAAGGAACATGTAAGAGAAGATGCCGATTTTACAACTTTTAATTTTTCGGAAAAATACAAAAATACCGATTTTCTATCAAAAATCACCGATATTCGATCATAATTTCGAAATTGAAACAGTTTTAAGGAGTTTTCCGTCGAAAATATAGCTAGATTTTGCTTAAAGCTTTTTCAATTTACGAAGTATTTTTTAATTCGTACCCCCCCGATAATGCCGAAGTGCTTTTTATTGTTCCTTCCCCCCTTGAAAACTATTTAAAAGTTTGTGTATTTTTCTCTCCGGCTCTCTCGCTCTCTCTCTCTCTCTATCTCTCTCTCTCTCTCTCTCTCTTTCTTTCTTTCTTTCTCTGCTCTCTATCTCTCTCGCTCTTCGTATTTTTGGCCGCCTGCCAACCCCTTGCTTAATCCCAAAATCGCAGCCGCTCAACCCGGTTGAAACATCTCCTACTAGCCATGGGCATATGCAAAGATGTCCCCCGCCCCTAAATGTCCGTATGCAAACTGTATACAGCCGGTTTGCCGCCTCCCCCTCCCCATCTGGCACCCGGGGGGATGCAGCATAATGTTTTTGGAAAGTTTCCGGTCCTCTCCCTTCCGCTCGCCGATCCCTGAATCCATAGCCCCCCGCTCTCTCTCTCTCTCTCTCTCTCTCTCTCTCTCTCTCGCCCTCTCTGGAAGCACACAGTCCAATCGGAATACGCGTATTTACCCCCTCGGACCGGCGATCTTGTCCCGCGGACATTTGCGTACTTTTTGGGGTGTTGGCCCCTGGATTCTGCACTTTTTGAACTTGAACACATCGACTTTTTCTTGCATAATTTTCTGAAGGGACCATTAGGTTAGAACCAGGCGTTTTCGGAGACGAGAAATTCTAAGAATCCTGACTTCACTGTTCCTTTAATCGCTTGGAAATCCAAAAAAGGAAATGCTGGTAGGCCAAATCTCTTCTCCCTCTCTCGCTCTCTCTCTCTCTCTCTCTCTCGTTCTCGCGCTCTCTCTCTCTCTCTCAAAATTCCGTTAAAGAAAGGATGAAACGCCAGAATCAACGCCACTTTCCACTAGGTCTAGACAACCGCCTCTTATTACTACCACTTTTCCATCAGCTTTTTGTCTAGGCTGCCAGTGGGGGGATGCAGCTTATTATGCACGGGATGCCCTGCGGGGGGGATGAAGACGATGAATATGGCTGGGGTGTGGAGGGCGTGAATTGGTCAGAAAGGGAATTATGAAGGCGAGAGAGAGAGAGAGACAGCCATACGGGTCCTCTCCCTGTGGGCCTCTCGGATTCATATTCCACCCCCACCAATACCCGCAGTCTCCCGGTATTGTCCATGTTTGCTTCCGGTCCGGTCTCACCCCCAACGGAATCGCCACCCAACACAAAAATACACACCCCCTCAAAAAAACGGCCCACCCTTTGAAGCAGCTGGCCGCTGTGCTATTCGCGCGTCGTGTTTTGTCTTCGGATTAGGCGCGCTCGCCGGGGTCTCGGCTTCACGTATCTACCACACGCACGCGTCCGCGCTCTTGCGCTAGCATTTCCGTTTTTTACACTTTTCCATCGACAACCGTTTTTAATGCCTTTTGGAAAAAACATTGGAAAAATACCGGCAGCCAAGGTTTCGACAGGCAAAATCCCGATAGCCAGAATGCCGACACTCAAAATGGCTGTTTAACAGGAATTGGCATTTAAACGGGCGTCGAGAATACGCTGGAATTTTTAAATTTCACGATTTTCCAAATAATTTTTCATGCTTTTTAAATTTAGATATACTGAAAATTACTTTTTTTAGAATTGGGCTGTCGGAATTTTCTCTGTCGGGATTTTGAATTGTCGGAATTTTGACTGTTTGGCTGCCAGGATGCCGAAACTTCCGCAAAGCTACGCTAGCGCTTCCTTTTCTGAAGGCGACTTGCTGGGGTTAAAATCGTTGCTAGGGCGTATTTTCCTCCTGTCGAAATTCCATAATGTCGAAATTTTACCATGTCGAAAATGTCGGCATTTCATAGCTTCGCAGCGTCGAAATTTTGGTATCCCCGTAGATCGATAATCTGAAGCGTCAGTATTCTGAACTGTCGTCATTCTAGAATGTCAACATTCTGAAATGTCGATATTAAGGAATTTCGATAGTTTGTATTTCGACGTCGGGATAACTGGGTAAAAAAACCTTGTCTTAGCATTACTGATAAAACTTTCTATTTTTGGTTTTCGGGTTGTATCCTACCATATACAAGAAAGCTTACCGCTAAAAATTCTATAGATAAACAGTGTTTATCCTTTAAAAGTATCCCTTTCCCTCTCCATGGCACTTGAAAATCCCGTTTTCCCCTTTTCACTTTGAATTTCGAAAGCGGGGCCCCGGCCAGAATAAAGTGTGTATTGTCAGGACATGAAAGTGCCGCTTTCCCCCCGAAGTGGTATGATTGTATCGGAGGATGATATATATTTGTCTTCCCTCGACGACACCCTGATTCACCACGAAACAACGGACGGCCAGCCCCGGGGGTTTTGATTAAAAATCCGGCGAATCGGAGGGGGGAATCGGGGCGAGAAGGGACGAATATCGATTGACTGACCGGCTAGCGGCGATTTCGGGGCCCGAATTCGGGAATTATTCTCGGGCACGCGCCGGGTTTGAGATACCATTAATGCGCTTCGATTTCTTAGTTTTTTCCGCAAATTTGGCGATTTTAGTCCCTAGGTAATTTTCCGTTTTTTGCCTTCTTAAAGGTGCCGGCAAGTGTCGAATTTGGGGGTTCCTACGCACGAATTTCTCTCTGGCGCCCTCTCTCTCTCTCTCTCGCTCTCTCCCTCACTTTCTCTTCGTCTCTCTCCCTCACTGTCTTTCTCTCTCCCTCCCTCTCCCTCCCTCCCTCTCTCTCTCTCTCTCTCTCTCTCTCTCTCTATCTTTCTCTCGCTCTCTCTCGCTCTCTCTCTCGCACTGTCTCTATCAATCTCTGGCTCACTCCCTGTTGCTCCCGTTCTCCCACTCTCGCTCTCTCTATGGCACTCTCTCACTCTCCCTGACTCTTTCGCCCGCTCACTAGCTTTAAAGGGTCGGGCAAGGCAAGTCCATGGATTTCTGGACTCATAGCTTTATTGTTCCATATGGTTGTTCTTCTACAGAAATCCATCTCGATTCTGTGCTCCCCCTCCTTATTTCCACAATTTTCCCTCGTGTATAGGTGTCCAACGTTTTCTCCCTTGTACCGTACGTCCAGCGTATACATTCCGGGGCAGCCATGCGATGAGCGTCCGGTATATGCGGCGTTCGGCTAGCGGTCGACGGTGGGTTACGGTACATTCGTGGAATTTGCGGTCAAAGGAGCTATGCAGCCAAATTCCGAGACTGGAACACCAGAAAAATTCTAAAAATGGGAGTCGACTTCCGGAGCTTTCGCATTATCGGCGGGGGGCGTAGGGGAAAAGTTTTTTGGGAAAGCCCAGGAATTCCTAGTCATGTAATAGTAAGTTTTATAAATTTTTTTTACTGAAATTTAGCCAGATCTCGAGTGAAAAACGATTCCAAAAACCAGAAAATTTCGAAAATAATTTTTTAAAATGACATTTTGGTCAAAAAATCGATCTTCTTTTCCAATTTTTTAGATAAAAAGTTTATGTTTAGGAATAGTAGCAAACAGCTTAAAAAATTTTGATACTAAAGAAAAACCGTTGGTCCCACCCCCGATAATGCGAAAGAACCCGAGTATCAGAGTTCCGATACCTTTAAAACCTTCCAAAAATTAGCAGACACGCCGGCTGACTTTCCCAGGCCTGAATCCACGATTTTCAGTAGTAGCTTGCTGCTTTTGTTCGTCCCTCTGTCGGCTTCACCTTCGAACAGAGGAGAGAGGGCCCTCTCCCCTCCTCTGACTGGCCCATTGTTTTGGCCCCTCCCTGCAAAGGACCAAAAGGGACATGCATATCCTCGCCTTTCTTCGGGCTCCCCAGAATTCCTTGGGCCCCTGGCAGGATAGGGGGGAGGGCCCTAGGGCTAGGGCCACACACATCCCACTGGGCCCTATCCTTTGGCCCCCCTGGCGAGAGCTTCAGAAGTGTTTCGAATTCCCGCCCCCCCTGCTGGGCCCCCCTCGCACTCTCTCTGGCTAGGCTTTCGGCCCCTGGGCCCCTAGCTGAACGGCCATTCACACCCTTGGACTCGTCGTAAAAAAATTGTCCTAAAATACTCTTAAATCCACCGATTTCGGACTACAAACTACAAAAATTGCGAAAATTGGCGTTTATATTCCTACTCAAAAATTTTCTATATTTTTCCCGCTACAAACTACAAACTATATTTAATAAAAATTTTAATATAATTTAACTGGGTGTCTACGAATACCGACAAACTTTCTATTTTTCCAAAAACTCTAAAGTCTTCCTAAAAATTCTGAAACGCCCTGAAAACTAGATTTATTTAATTCAGAGCTTATTTTTCTGAATTTTGCGTAAATTTCTGAATTTTTATACTATAAACTACAAAGTAGTAAAATTGTCAAAAAATCTGCTATTCAAATTTCTAACTTCAGCTATAAATATTCGCTAAAAACCCTGAAAAACCCCTATAAATAACTCCACAAAAATTAGATATTTATCTAATATTGAATTAGATAATTCGAACCACAAACTACAACTCCAAAAACCCTCCCAAAATATGCCCTAACCCACGAAAATGCTCAAACCGCCCGGGCACTCGACTGACCCCCAGCCGGGTCCCTCCACCGCGACCGTGGCGGGACCCCCGGTGTCGGGCCCAGAATTATTAAATAACGTCATATATTTTAGGTAGAGTATCGCGATTTAATGCATTTTAATTCATCGATTTTTTTAGCCATGTGAACAAGCGGACGACGTACGATCGACCGGGCACAAGCTCAGCCATGCCACCCCCGGCCCGGCCAACGTCGTATCCGGTAGGTTTTTGGGCGTAAAAATTATTTTAAATCAAAATTGCAATAGAAAACGTTATTTAACTAGCATTAAAACCTTGCGATAGCTATTTTCATTCAATTTGGAATTTTTCTCTTTTTTTGAAGGACCTTATGCGTTTTCGGGGGTGGAGGGATTTTATCGACGGGGAAAATTTGTTTTTGGTAACCAATTTTTAAATTTAAATGGCAAAATTCTTTTTAGGCTGTTTTTTAGTATACCTAAATGCAAAAACCTTCGAAATTTTGATTAAAAATTGCAAAAAACTACTTTTCTCGGTAAAAATGCCGATTTTCGACAAAAATGTCGACATTTTGAAATGATTAAACGTTTTTAAAAGCTGTTACTTGAAGTGTTGCATTTAAATTATAGTTTAATAATATTTCTCTTAACTGTTAAAACACTGACTAACACTTTGTTATGCATTTTTGAAGTTGTACGAAAAATTTTGAATGAAGATAGACAAACGATTTTTGGCCCTCGAAATCCGTTTAAATTCAGCAAAATTCAAATATGAATAGTTTTCTTTGAAAACCTTAAAAATACTTAAAACAAATAGAGTTAAAAGCAAATAACCCCTTTCAGGTAAACGGCCACGACTCGTCGCCCGGGTCGCGGATGTCGCGGCGTGACTTGGCGGGGATGATGGGCGGGATGGCCGTCAGCCACAATCCCTATTTCACCACCGACCCCATGCAGTTGCGGGGCGAGATATTGAGGACGACCATTATTAAGGTATCACCTATCGTAATTATCGGAATTTTCGATTTTTAAGGGTCCCAAAGGGCTCGGCTTCACGTTGATCGGGAATGACGCGAGCAGTAAAGGGGATGAATTCATCCAGGTGGGGATTTTGGGGGTTTAGAGGGATTGTGAAAACAAATACGTGTAGCTTGAACTGAACTCTTGCAGATTACTCGCTCTCTCGCTCTCTCTCTTTCTCTCTCTCTTTCTCTATCTCGCTCCTATGGCAAACCGTTTTTGGGCGGTCCCCGTGTCTAATTAGAAGGCCCAGCTCTGACGGGGGTGGTGGCCCAATTTTAGGGACCTCCTCCTTCTCCTCCCATCCCCTTTCCAGCAGCGGAAATGACTTTTGGGGTCTCTGGATGGGCGATTGAATTTTGTGGTCTAGGCCTTGGTAGACTGGGGCCCAGCGACTAGCCGCCGGAGAAACCAAAAATTGGATGGACGATGGTCAAAAGTTGTTGAGTTTTGACGAGGGAGCGAGAGATAAAGAGAGAGAGAAAGCGAGAGAGAGCGAGAGAGAGCGAAAGTCAGTGAGAGAGAGGGGAGAAAGAGAAAACGAGAAAGAGACAGAGAGAGCGAGAGCGAGAAAGAAAGAGGGAGAGAGAAGGGTGAGAGAGAAAACGAGAGCTCCCCGAGAGTATTGAGTGAGAGAAGTAGAGTGCGGGACGAGAGAAAACAAGAGAGAGACAGAGAGAGCGAGAGAACATGCATTCCGCTGCTCTTTTTCACCTATTTTCAATCCTCAGATTCATATATCCTAGCCATCCTCCATACGCGGCCCCCTAATAATATTCCGCGCAGCTCCTCCTCCCTTCCCCAAATTTCGGCTGCATTTAAGGGCCCAAGAAAGGGAGCGCCCGGCGGCCCTTTATGGCAAGTATAAAAAGGAGATGGCCGTTTGGAGGGGGGCGCCCAGTAAATTCAATTCCGACGCCTTCCCCGCCTTGGCTAGCATGGTTATGGTCAGTGCGGAAGATATTTGGGTAGAGAGAAGTATTCTAAATTCTTTTTCAGGTGAAATCCATCCTTGCCGGAGGTCCAGCTGCGTCAAATGGTGTCCTCCAGCCGGGCGACGTCCTCGTCAGGGTCAACCAGAATTTGCTGCTTGGCGCGACACAGGTAGGGAGAGAGAGAGAGAGAGAGAGAGAGAGAGCGATAGTGTGAGAGAGAGAGGGAATAACTCGAAAACCTCGTCACTTTCAGGCGGACGCGTGCCAGATCTTCGTCTCAATCCCCCAGGGCGAGCCTGTCGACCTGGAAGTGTGCCGTGGCTACCCTCTAGTAATCGACCCAGCCAACCGTATCGTCACCCAATCCGTCTACGATGGCCATCGCAATGACGACCTGTTCGATATCTCCATCACCAAGGGCACCGAGGGGTTCGGCTTCACCATTGCTGATAATGCTAATGTAAGGTTTTAGCGTGTTTAAAATTGAAATTAAGATCTAAAAATCAAAACAATAATTTAACCACCGTCCCTTCAGGGCCAGCGCGTTCGGAAGATCATCTACCCGGCGCAGTGCCCGAATCTGCTGGAGGGCGACGTCATCTGCGAGCTGGACGGGCGGGACGTGAGAGGGGTATCCCACACGCAACTCGTCGATATGCTGCGCGAACTTCCGGTTGGGCACCGCGGTCGGCTAGCCGTTCGGCGGATCAGCGCCACAAAGAATCGGTGGGTAGAGGAACATCCCTTGACTTCAGATCTCTCTCTCTCTCTCTCGCTCCCCCCCCCCCCCCCTCCTCCCCCCCCCCCCCTCTCCCTCTTTTCACCCCCAATTTTTTCAGGTCTCGAACCCCGGTCGCAGGTTTCCGGTACGGTCAGCAGGGCGGCATCACACCCACCCCATCCCAAGCGGCCCGTAGCAGAACACCCGCTCCGAATATGCCCCGACAGCCGGATTACCGATCGAATACGCTGAATCGGGTATACCTTTCAAATACTTCCATCTGCACCTCCGCTCGTTTGCCATCTACCGCACTTTCTTCCCCCTCTCCCCCATCTCACACTATTTTTTGGTTGGCTTTTTTGGCTATTGGAGGGACCTAGACTACAAAATTCCAGATTAGCGAATTAAGGAAACCTAGTCGGGCGAGTACATTAGATTTTGCAGGCGCTACAAAATTTAGGCTAGAGCTATACCAAAAATCAAAACTCAAAAATTGTGGGGCTGAGCATCGCAATCAGCTGAACTCGCCGAAGACGTCGCTCTTCCGAACCCGCTCAATTTCTTGAAAGTTTAGTAGACGTACTTACTAGTTGGTTTAGGCTTACATTTAGACTTATTAGGTTACGTTATGCTTACAAGGAGACGTTTTTGAGTGTCGTCGGGACTTTGGCACGGGACCAAGCCTATCTTGTGCAGAGTTTTACGCTGATTCTGAATATGGTAACCGTTTTTGCGGAATAGCCATTTCTCGAAAGTTATGAACGATTTAAACCTCAAAACAGCCCAAAATCGGCTACTTTCAATAGTCATAAAAGGCTTCGGAATAGGTTTTAGACAAAACCAGATAGTACATCTTGTTCAGAAAAAAATTCTCTATAAAATGTACCATCTTTTCCAAAATCATTGAAAAGTTTGAAAAACTGGGATAAATTGGGAGGTCCATTAATTTTACAAAAATTTTCAAAGTTCTAGAATTTTTGAGTTAAGTAGCCTATTTTATAGAGAATTTTTTTCTGAACAAGATGCACTATCAAGTTTTGTCTAAAAAACCTATTCCGAAGCCTTTTATGACTATCGAAAGTAGCCGATTTTGGGCTGTTTTGAGGTTTAAATTGTTCATAACGTTCGAGAAATGGCTATTCCGCAAAAACGGCTAACATTTCGGAATCAGCGTAAAATTCTGCACAAGATAGGCTTGGTCCCGTGCCAAAGTCTCGACGACACTCAAAAACGTCTCCTTGTTAGGTTTAGGTTTAGGCTTAGGCTTAGGCTTAGGTTTGGGCTTAGGCTTAGACTTAGGCTTAGGCTTCGGCCTAGGCTTTGATTTGGACTTAGGTAGCTTAACCTAATCCTAGCTTTAGACACTCTCAACTTCTTGCAAATTCAGTAGATCATCAAGCCAATTTCTTGTAGCTATTGCCGCTTATCCAGTAAAAAAACCTTGACTTTTTGCGTGGAGTGTTTTGTGACGGGCCGGCTTTTTGCAGCACCCACCCTCCGCCACCGTACACCCGGATGGGGGATACGGCTCGATGCGCGGCTCGGCTTCCCTTCACGGCTTCTCCACGACGCCCAACTACATGCCGCTAGCCGCCCTCCAGGTCTGCCCCGACCCCAACACGCCCATTTTCTCATGCTAATTTTGACCTTGACCGCCCTGTCTTTCAGTTTTTATCTTTCCGGCTCCCAGAGTTTAAATTTTTTTGGTTTGACATTCCTGACCTGCCTACCTTGAATCTACAACGTTTTCCAAGAGGATTAAAAACTATTTTTACAAATTCTAAATCGATAATTTTATGATTTACTTTTAAAACAGTTTTTAAATATTTATAACTCCAGCTAAATTTTAAGATTTTTAAATCTTCCCTTTAATCATACCGAAATGACCTTATTTAATGGCTTTCAACATTTCAGAATCAATTATTAAATCCCCATTAAGTTCAAAACCTAATCATTTTTTAGACAATTTAAAACACAATTTGCGGCTTCAAAAGTGTCATTTTAGATGGACCAGCCTTTCAACCACATGACGGTTAATTTGATTCGAAAACCACAAGGTTTCGGCTTCCGATTGTTGGGTGGGAATGAGGTAAGAAATACTTCTTTTAAGGATTCTTGTAAAATTTCGTCAAAGTGAAAGTTGAAAATACGTAAAATTTCCAGACCGGCACGCAGCTGACGGTTGGCCAGATTGTCCCTGGTGGAGCTGCAGCTGATGATGGACGGCTGAAAGAAGGTATCTCTCTTCTCCTCTCTCTCTCTTTCTCTCTCTCCATTTCTCTCTCTCACTCTCTCTCCCTCTCTTTTTTTCTCTGTTACAATCATTAGCTTCTACCTTTTCAGGTGATGAGATCATGGAAATCGACGGTGTCAGCGTGGAGGGAGCGGCGCATGGAGATGCGGTTGGACTGCTCGAAAAGGCCGCGCGGCAGCAGCACGTTAAGCTGCTGGTCAGGAGGCATCAGATGAATGGTTAGTTAGTCTGTCTCCGCACTCTCTGTCACCCACTTTCTCTCTCTTTCTCCTCTCTCGCTCTCTCGCTCTCTTTTTCCCTTACTTACCCTTAATACGCTTAAATTATATTCTTCCAGGCATCGACAGCGCCCGTTCCGCCTCACTTCCCCCTTCCATGAGCCCACATGCCGGAAATATTGCCCAGGAGTACGACGTAGTACTCGAACGGTATCCATTAGTCAGAAACCCCAAAACCTCTGTGATTTAGACAAGAAACCGAGGGCTTCGGCTTTGTAATCCTGTCAAATATGGTGCGAAGAGCCTCCAACATTGGCGAGCTGATCCCCGGTTCGCCGGCAGCGCGCTGTGGTCGTCTACGGGTGGGCGATCGGGTGCTGCGAGTTAATGGGAATGACATTGCTGGGCTGCCGCATGCGGATATCGTCAACCTGATCAAGGTGAGGAGAATTTATGCTGAGAGAAATTGAGAGAAAGTGAGAGCGAGAGAGAGAGAGAGAGACCATGAGAGAGAGAGCCATGAAAGAGTGGAAACAGAGCTTTAGGAATAGTGAGAGAACGAGAGAAGATAAACAAAGAGGAGAGAGAGAGTGAGAGAGAGAGAGAGAGATAATTTTAAAAGCCAATATACCACTTCAGAACGCCGGCCTAACCGTCCGCCTTACCGTATGCCAAGACACGGGCCCGGCGATGCCGAAAGGCGCCGCGGGACCCACCTATGCCCCCAGCTACTCGCACCCCACGCCCGTATACGGTGGCTACAGCACTATACAACAGGTGGGTCGTGTTTTTGAATTTCTGTATTTTACCTTGCCTTTTGCCTTCCCATTTCCTTTAAATATCAAAATTCGAATTTCGTTATTATTGATTAGGTATTATCACACAAAATAAATTACCTTCTAACAACCTTTAAGATCATTTTTATGCTAATTTTATTTTTTAGACACCATCACACTCAACCCTTCCCCCTCCAATCCACTCCGCCATGCGCAGTAATGGGTATTCACCATACGACGCTGCCCCTCCCGGCCACCAGGTATCATTAATTTTTACAACTTTTTTTTGCTGAAAATTCCGTCCTTGTCCTTTGTACATCACCGTCGTCGTCCGCCTCCACACACCATCCAGATATATCTAGGTTGAGGCGATTTCCGGGTTGCTACTGCGCACGAAAATTCCAGTTTCATGAAAATTTGCACTTAAATCAAGGCAAAAAATAAACAGCGAAAATGAACAAAAAGTGATTGCCATTTTTTACGTTTATGAAGGCAATTTTCGACATCTGCAAATTCTAATATCTACTTTTCGGCTTTTTTTTTTGAAGTTTTTAATTTTTTGAGATATTAAAATTCAACTCTAGACATTTAACAATTAGAATTTCGACTTTTTCAGATTTCAAAACCTGTTTTGATATTTTTTAGCGTTTTAAACTCATTTAGGGCCGTTTCGATATTTTAAACATTAATATGTTGTGAAGGATAACATGGTTTTTCCATAAAGAAAAATAGCTTGTCGGCATTTTTGTTTTACCATTTTTCGACGGGATAAAAAGGATACAATATCGTGCGTAGTAAGCGCCCGGAAATTATCCCCCCAATTCCTCAGCACCGTCCTCGTCCCTTTTTTTGGTTCGTCCCGCAGCTAGGAATGGCCATCGCTTACTGTAATTCTATAATTGTCATTTTTGAGGGTTTTCAAGGATTCTTCTTCCTAAAAAAATTACCTTTAAATTTTCTCAAGAAACACTGCTGTCTTGCCTCTGTACAGTCAAAAAAACTCATTTTAGCACAGTTTTTAGCGCCTTTTCCCATTGTCATCTCCCTCTTGTTTAATTTTTACCGTGCTCCCTGAAATCTACCGTACCTCAAAAACCAAAACTCAAAAAAATCGCCCACCCAAGGACAGCTGCGAGTCGCTGCTGCGTGCGCTGGCGCAGGCGAGCGTGTTGGACGAGTACGAGGAGAGCCGAGAATTCTTGGGGATCGCCGTGTCGGAACCATCCACATCTCCGCCGCCCCAGCCAAGGGGTACGGCCATTAGTGCGCGAACGCGAATGAAGCTACCCCCTCGACTCCCGACCACTGCTCGCTGGCCATCCCCACTACCCTTTAGCTGCTTGTAATAGCTGTTGTATGCTTGGCTGATAGTTTGGCTTCGGCTTAACCTAGGCTTAGTGTAGGCTTAGCTTAGGCTTGGCTTAGGCTTGGCTTAGGCTTGGCTTAGGCTTAGCTTAGGCTTAGCTTAGGCTTAGCTTAGGCTTAGCTTAGGCTTAGCTTAGGCTTAGCTTAGGCTTGAGCTTAGGCTTAGAACTAGGCTTAGCTTAGGCTTATCTTCGGCTTAGCTTCGGTTTAGACTTAGGCGAACGCTTTTAGGCCCTAAATTTACATTTCCAAGCCATTGCAACGGCCTACCGTAACCCACACGTCGTTTCGGGACCCTTGACCGGTGATGGAATTCCCTGCCTGTACGCCTTGAACTTGACGGACATTCGGCGGAGCAGACTTTTGCTTGAAGGGCGGTTGAAGGCTGAGAATCTGTGGATTCCGGCGTTCAAGGGCCCTTTAAAAGGCAAAATCTTGGCTACCTAAAAAATAAAAGGGGTGATAATATGTTAAAAAATTAAAAAACGTATCATAAATTCCTCAAAGCTTGAATCTGCAATCTATCAAATTTTAAATTTTAGAAACGATACTTTTTTGGTCAATTTTTATACATCAATGAATTGATTTTTTGCGTTTTTGCTGTATCCATTATGATTGCTTAAATCGAAATAACGCCAAAACAAACAATATTCGTGAATGTGTGTCGCCACTTCCATTCTTCCCCCATTTCCTCTGCCTGTCTGCCCTCTCTCCCCTTTTACACCAAGCTGCCCTAACACGCTACCGTATACCCTGGGGATCGTGGCGGGACCGAAGTGATTGTTTTCAAGGGATGAGCATCACTTTTCAGGAGGACGACCTGATGGTGGAGCTGGAACGAGGGACGCGGGGCTTCGGCTTTTCGATTCGAGGAGGCCACGAGTTTGGCAAGATGCCGCTTTTCGTGCTGCGGATCGCTGAGGTGAGTGAGGGGCTACAGTAGCCTTTTAAAGGGACTGGAAAGGCATGGCTATGGATTTTGTTGGCAAACTTTTAAGTAGCTGGGGCAGTTCCAAACCTATGGATTTTTCTTCACCGGCTCATGAACTACTTGATCTCGTTGAATTCCTCTTTTGCAGGACGGCGCGGCAGCTGCGGATGGACGTCTTCGTGTCGGCGACCACTTGGTGGAGATCAACGGCACCGATACACGTGGTCTCTCCCATGAAGAAGCCATCAACCTCATCAAGCAGCACCCAACTGTACGGCTACGCATCGCCCGCCATCGACTACCCACGCATTAATGGTTATTGTATCTTAGGCTTGGCTTAGGCGTGGCTTAGGCTTGGCTTAGGCTTGGCTTAGGCTTGGCTTAGGCTTGGCTTAGGCTTGGCTTAGGCTTGGCTTAGGCTTGGCTTAGGCTTGGCTTAGGCTTAGGCTTAGGCTTAGGCTTAGGCTTAGGCTTATGATTGGCTTAAGCGTGGCCTGGGCTTGGCCTAGGCTTAGGCTTGGCTTTGCCTACAAGCTTCAACTTTGCAAATTCCTCTTCAAATTAAAATTCCATTCCCGCCATAAAGTGCCCCAGGCGCAACACGCACTAATAGCCACTCCTCAAAAGCTCCCCGAAAACTCAGTTTCCCCGTCCCTCCCTCTCGCACGCATCGATGCCATATTTTCGTGAATTAATATTATTTATATTATGCTAATTTTATATTTTTTTTGTACAAAAACCTGGCAATAAGTGTTTTATGGAACTGATGAGACTTTGGAACGCTAGAGAAAAACCCTATATATCCCCCGCGCGCGCCGAGACAACCAGCCGATACTCGCCTCTGTGATTTTATTCAATTTTTTATTGTTCCATTTTTTATTCAAATATGCAAATTTCAAGGGAATTTTTTACCCGAGTTTTTCAATTTTTTAAGCTTGAATCGATTTTTCCAGGCTTAAAATGTAAACGCACGTTAAAATTTAAAGTTAGTTAAATTTTTAGATCTTTTCTCAGCCGACAAACCGAAATTTAACTTTCAAAAATTTAAATTTAATTTTTTTGCGTATTTATGTCTGCCCCACCACCTTTCACTTATTTTTTTGTCATACATTTAAGCCTCTATTTAACCCTAAGAACTTAACTTTGAATTGCCCGCAAAAATCCCCCTTACACTCCACGCCGATGCTTTAACCCCCCTGCCAGAAACTATAACAGTTGATGATGATGATGATGCCTATGCAATCTTATGCTAATTTCTAATTTCGCCTGAACGCCATGACCCCCGTTTTTTGAATTTGAGATGTGTTTAATTTGAATATTCTATTCTTTCTACCGCGGCATCGAGAAATGCAGGCACCCATGTTTGTCCCTTTCTGTTTGCTATCAAATTTTTACGTGTACAGATTGCTGATAAAAAATTGAAGAAATGGATGTATGGTTGGAATTTGCATAAAATGATACAGGAGCGAGAGACAGAGAGAGAGAGCGCGGGAGAGAGCGAGAAAGAGAGAGGGGGAGGGAGAGAGAGAGAGGGAGAGAGAGCGTAAAAGAAAGAGGGAGAGTGAGAATCAGATGGTGAAAAAGTGAAGAGAGAAACTTGAAAGATTTACGTCGCGTTCTTTTGAATTATCGGGGAGGGGCTAGGGTCCAGGAGGTTTTAATAGTTTTATAAAAAGAAACATTTTGACCGTTCGATAGAAAAATGATACTTTCAAATTTTGTACAATTTTAAACCTCTTTTTGTCGAAAAAGCTATATTTTTCGTATACTATAACAGAAATGTGTAAATTTTTAGCTTACAAATAATAAAAAACGGTTTACAAACACTTTTTCTAGCTGTTTTTCAAAAATAGGGAAGAAGTTAGTCCCCCGTTTCTGAAAGAATGGATATTTTTTAACTATATTTTGCCAACCCCCCACGCAAAGCCAAGAATTTATTCAGCGAATCAGGAAAAGCCAAAAAAAATCGGGGCGTAGCGAGCACACGAAAAAGCAGTCGGGGAGTGCGAGAGCGAGAGCAAAGCGATCAGAGCATTAAGCGGATAGGGGAGAGCACCGTTAAAAATGCAAAATCGAGAAACCGAGTGGGGAGCAACGGGGATGACGATTGTAAATGGTATCGATGTGTACATGAAAGGAAGGGAAAAGTCGAAGGCAATTCACGGATTTCATCCTCGGCGATTTAGGCTTGGGCGGCTTCGGCCGGGGCGGCTTCTAAAAAGGAATAAAGATGCGGCGAAAAATCCGTAAAGTAAAAAGTAAAAATCATCTAGAATCGACAAAACTGTCTCGAAATTTTTTAAGGCAGGCTAGCCGTGATTATGTGGGAAAGCCTAGCTTACCAGCTGCAGGTGCGGCTTCCGGAGCTGCGGCTTCGGCGGGAGCAGCTTCCGGAGCGGCGGCCTCAGAGGGAGCTGCCTCAGCGGGAGTTGCCTCAGCAGGAGCAGCCTCCGCGGGAGCAGCCTCGGCAGCGGGTGCAGACTCGGCGGCCGGCGCATCAGAAGGAGCGGCTTCGGCCGGAGCGGCTTCAGCAGCTGGGGCTTCCGCGGGAGCAGCTTCAGCAGGCGCGGCTTCAGCAGCAGGGGCGTCGGATTGAGCAGCCTCAGCTGGAGCGGCATCAGCAGCGGGGGCGGCGGCTTCTGCTGGGGCAGCGTCAGCGGCAGGGGCTTCGGATTGAGTGGCTTCTGCTGGGGCAGCGTCAGCAGCAGGGGCGGCTTCAGCTGGGGCAGCTTCGGCTGGGGCAGCTTCGGCTGGGGCAGCGTCAGCAGCAGGGGCGGCTTCAGCTGGGGCAGCTTCGGCTGGGGCAGCTTCGGCTGGGGCAGCATCAGCGGCCGGGGCGGCTTCAGCAGGGGCTGCTTCAGCAGGGGCCGATTCTGGTGCTCCCTCAGTGACTGGAGCAGATTCAACCTGGACGGGCACCTCTTCGACGGCGGCGGCTGGGGCTTCTGAAAGGTGATAAATTCAGAGAGAGTGAGCGAGAGAGCGAGAGAGATAGAGGGGGAGAGAGGGAGAGAGACCTAATTGTCTAGAATCAAAACTTACCAGCTGCGGGCTCAGATGCCTCGGCTGCAGGAGCGGATTCTGCGGCAGGAGCAGCCTCGGCAGCGGGAGCCTCAGATGAAGCAGCTTCAGCGGCAGCTGCTTCTTCGGCAGGGGCGGCCTCAGCCGGTGCGGCTTCAGCAGGGACGGCTTCTGAATTTATTGACCTTCCAGAAGATGTCCTCCTCCCTACCTGGTGCTCCCTCGGTCACTGGGGCCGACTCGACCTTGACGGGGATCTCCTCAACTACCGGGGCTTCAGCTTCAGCGGCAGGGGCAGATGCCTCGGCAGCTGGAGCAGCTTCAGCGGAAGCGGCTTCAGCCGGCGCGGCCTCAGCGGCAGGAGCATCAGCAGCAGCTTCTAAAATTTAATTTTAAAAATACGCTCAAGCCAAACCTGGCGCAGCTTGAGTCGTCGGGGCTTCCTCAACTTGGACGGGGACCTCCTCGACAACAGGGGCGGCCTCGGCCGGAGCAGCTTCAGCAGGGGCGGCCTCGGCCGGCGCAGCTTCAGCAGGCGAAGCTTCAGAAGGGGCGGCTTCGGCTGAAGCAGCTTCTGCAGGGGCAGCTTCAGTGGGGGCGGCTTCAGCTGGAGCGGCTTCTGCTGGTGCGGCTTCGGCAGCTGGGGCGGCTTCTTCTGAACAAACCTTATTACTTGAGCACGGTTTGATGCCGTTGATCGTCTACCACAATCACTTACCGGCGGGGGCGGCTTCGGCAGCTGGGGCTTCGGCAGGTGCAGCTTCGGCTGGGGCGGCTTCTGCGGGGGCGGCTTCAGGGGCGGCGGCGGGCTCAGATGGGGCCGCTTCGGCTGCAGGGGCTTCGGCCGGAGCGGCTTCGGCTGCTGGAGCCTCAGCGGGCGCTGGCTCTGAAAGTAAGCTTAGGCTTAGGCTTCAGCTTAACAGTAAGTCGTTTCAACCTCTCAAAAAAAGGCTCACCAGCGAAGGGTTGATCGGCCATTTCGCAAAAGGGGGATGAGAGGAGGGGTTGAAATCCGGAAATCCAAGGAATGGCCAGGCCCAGGGCCCAGAACCCGAGGGCCCAGATGTGGGCGGTCCTCCAGCATTCCACGCGGTTCAGAGGAGCCCCTGGTTTTCTCTGATTTTCTCGAACAGTGCCTTGATCTCTACGCTTTGCTCTGTAGCTCTAGGTTTCTCTCTCTCTTTCTTTCTCTCTCTCTCTCTCTCTCTCTCTCTCTCTCTCTCTCGGGGTTTCGTCAAACTTTCCGCGGGGGGTTCTCTAGTCACTTTTTGTTCAGCTGTCTGGGCATACAGCTGCGTTCAAGCTATTCACGCTAGCTGGGGAATAACGAGATGGAATATGGATCTTTAGAGGTCTCTGAAATCCTCAAGGAAAACTGCTAGTTTGCCTGGTCAAATTCACGATCCCAAAAATCAATGCTAGTTTGCTTTCCAAAATTAGCCCGACCTGGATTTTCTCATGACTCCGAAAGGACCGCTGCTAGCCTGCCAGAAAACTGGCTGATCTAATTAACTTTTCAGGAATTCCGGCCATAATCCCGACAACCCCGACAACCAAAATGCCGACAAATTTTTACGTTACTTTGAGTCCCATCTCTTTTTAAACCGCTATTTTTCATGTCGGAATTTTAGCTGTCGGCATTTTGGCTTGTCGGGATTTCGGCTGTCGGGATTATGAATGTCGATATTTTGGTTGTCGATATTTTCGGTTTCAGTATCATGGATGTCGATATTTTGCCTGTCAGGATTTCGGATGTCGGTATTTTTGGGTTTCCCATCCTCAGGGACTACCCAACCTTACTTTCACCCTAAAATCTAGGCGTTCTTGCAGCAGCTGTGAGAAAGGGGGGTTCTGCCAGCTGATCAGGTCATGTGGTAGTAAAGGGTGGAGAAAGCTAGGGGCTATGTCTGTTTGCCGCCACTTCTTTCACATGACACCTTGAGGGCCCCCCATGGGGCCCACGTTGAGAGCTGCGGAAGGGATGGGGTTAGGGATGGACAGTGCGTGGGGGGGTAGCCCGCGCCTTAAAATATATCTGGAAAATCCCAGGGTCTGATCGAGTGTATCTGCGTCATCATTAAAAATGGAACGGGGGAAACCCTTGAAAGTTGGGGATTCCGGGGTGTCCGCCGCCGTTCGCTCGCTGAGGGGGTCTAGCAGAGATCTTTGGGGATCACTGGCTATACGCAAGGAGGGCCAGCAGAAAATTATGAAAATTCTTATCGACCTTACTACTATTAGGTACATTTTGGCGTCACCCCCCCTGTAGTACAGGATTTATGTGTCACT